AAATTTTAACTTTAAGTACGGTAAGTATATACGTCTAAGAATGCTTTTATTTATATGTATTAAACATATAATTTAATAGGTTGAGTTTTTAGATTTAATTATCGAAACTACTTATATATGTTTATATGTTATTATCCCGTGTAATGTGAAGGACCAACTTCAATTAATGATTGTGGTCAAAATAGAAAGTAATCACGAAGACTTAATTATGAATCACAATTCTTGAAGTGTTAGTAAAAATAACCGGGTATTTCTGAGCTTATTTAAATTTATTATGTTTTGAATGAGACATTAATTAACAGCCTTGGCATAATATAAGTACGAGACCAGTAATACAATAAATAGATTACTAATGAATTGTTTTCACTTGTCATTACACGCACACATTTATATAAATAAGAAGAACGTTTATAATTAGTTTTGGGGGGGGGGGGGTTGTTATGATTATTCACAGTCCAGTCGAGAGTTGTTGTTAGTTGCGGTTTTGCCAGCTAATTGCCTGGCTCATAAATGTAATAATATTATATTAGTGGCAAATTAAATGAAGTCGTGTGGTGGCCCTGAAAAGGGCCTTTTTAAGATAGTTTAGAGCAAAAGGGTGTAAAAAGGAATTAACCTCCAAAACCGTACAGAGTACGGCCTTGACGTTTGAGAGCGTAGACTACGTCCATGGCGGTGACGGTCTTCCTCTTGGCGTGCTCCGTGTATGTGACGGCGTCACGAATTACGTTTTCCAAAAACACTTTCAACACTCCACGGGTTTCTTCGTAGATCAAGCCGGAGATACGTTTTACTCCTCCACGGCGAGCTAACCGACGGATGGCTGGCTTGGTGATTCCTTGGATGTTGTCACGCAACACTTTACGATGACGTTTGGCGCCTCCTTTTCCAAGACCTTTTCCTCCTTTACCGCGACCGGTCATGTTGAATTTTGATAGTTTCTAGTTTTTCGTCGAGAGACTTGATGCTTCGAGAGCTGTACGTTGACTAATGCGACTATTACGCCTGTCGTCATATTTAAACGTTTCACTGTACGCTCGCAGCCAATCGAAATGCACGATCGGACTTCTCCCACTTTTGTACTCACCGCCAAGAACCGACCAATGGGAGGAACGGATATGATCCCGTAATGTGTATAAATATCAGTATAGTATTGGTAGGCAGCCACTACTCGTCTAAATTACAAACCACAAACAACTATCGAAAATATGGCACGTACCAAGCAAACCGCCCGCAAGTCGACCGGAGGAAAGGCGCCTAGGAAGCAGTTGGCGACCAAAGCCGCACGTAAGAGCGCGCCAGCCACCGGTGGTGTGAAGAAACCCCATCGTTACCGCCCGGGAACCGTCGCTCTCCGTGAAATCCGTCGTTACCAGAAGAGCACGGAACTGTTGATCCGCAAACTACCGTTCCAACGTCTGGTCCGTGAAATCGCCCAGGACTTCAAGACCGATTTGCGATTCCAGAGCTCCGCCGTCATGGCCCTGCAAGAGGCCAGTGAAGCCTATTTGGTGGGTCTGTTCGAAGACACCAACTTGTGCGCTATCCACGCTAAGCGTGTGACTATCATGCCGAAAGACATCCAATTGGCCCGTCGTATCCGTGGAGAACGTGCATAATTTTTATCATTTAATAAAACAAATCCATTAAAAAGGCCCTTTTCAGGGCCACCAAAAACGCATATGCTTGAAATTTATTAGCTATAGTTACCTCCATCAACAGCAATAATAAATTATGTACTTCTGATATGAATCGATTACTTATTAAAGTTTACATAATATAAAGTGTTTCATATTCCTATTTTTTCGCATAATATATTGATACAACAACGCGATTATATAACTTATTCAATTCTTATGGACATTTTAATAATTTACAAAATGTACAATTTTTAAAACTACGAGAACATTGATTAAAAATCGAATAATTTCATATTTTAATATGAAAATATTCAGTGGCGTATATCGAACCTTTGTCCTTTACACACTAGTATAACGATAAGTGGGTCATAATTCAAAGGTTAGTATCATTAATATAAGAATTGGTAATGTTTCCGCAGAAAATTAATTCAATCCACATCTGAATGGTAGTAAATTTATTTTGATAATAATATAGTCAATCAACTTTTGTCCAGAAAATTTATTTTAATATTTTTATTTCGTAGCGTTATATGTATTTATTGGCTAAATTTCACATTTGAAAATCAGATGTAAGTTATATGATTTCGTTTTCACAAAACATTGTGATCTTGGGAGACGTTACCGACTACCTATTTACTAACTAAATAACTATAGTGCCGCTGGTCGGGAAGTTAAAATATGTTTTGATTCAGAATACAGCCATTTTAGTATAGATCACAATTACCTATTATGGTAGTTGATAAAATTATGATTTACCTATTACGATGTTTTACATTAATACGTTCATCACTTTGAGCTGGTATAGGTAGTTTGTGAAAATATCAATATCAATAACAAAATCAGAAAAAAATTAAATCGATATTACATAAAAAAAATATAGGAATTTTAAAGTCGAATCCAGTACCTATTATTATTTTGAAATCAGAAAAAATAATATCGACGAGCAAAATATATTATTATACCGAAATATTCAATTCTCTGTATAATACTATTCAGACGTCTAATATTAAATCGTTTGTAATTTCATCAAGAATTCTTTATATTTACAAATTTCTGTTCAAGTTTTAGATAATTTGTAAATTTAAAATTTAAAAAATTAAAAAATTATTTTAAAAAAAAAATTATTTTAATTTTTTTTATTATTTTAATATTTACCCAATACCTACCATTCACTCGAGTATGATCGTTGTTGGTAGAAGTTAAGACCCTTTACTATTTAGTTAATCAAAAACGACCAAAACTATATCAACATAGTTAGAGATCTTGGACGTAAGTATTGTATAAAATTGTTAAATACAATTGCAACACAAATTTGTGACCCTGAGAAGGACCTTTTATTGTAATTCTAACGTGTTTTACATGCTTATATGGGATATAGTTAATAATGACTAATAAATAGATGTATAATATTATATTATGCGTGGTGGAAAGGAAATATTTAGACTTTCTTTTTGGTCTTTTTTGGCAAAAGAACGGCTTGGATGTTGCCAATTGCAAATGCCTGGGGATGATACGAGACTTCTTGTTGTCACGCGCTGCGTTACCGGCCAATTCCAAGACTTCAGCTGCCAAGTACACAGGGGTTCCGGCTTCAACATCTATTCACTATCTATAACAAATCATTTGACATTATGTTATTTTAAATTATTGGCTTTTACCACTATTAAAATTTATTTATATTTATTAAACATGACTCTCAAATAGTAATATTTTAGATCTTAGAAATTGAAATCATAAATATTATAAGTTTTTAAAATTTTGAAATTTAATAATTTTTTTATAACCCATACTTGGAAAAAATTCTATCAAAAAGTTCTTCACCACATATGTTGACTATTCGTTTGGATTATTTCAGATTGATTACAGTATCATAACAATATTATACACAATTAGTATGATACAAACAAAGAGTTTTATATTCAGTGATATTGTCTAGGGTCTAGGTATTCAATATGTGGTCATATTACAATGCACGGATATACTCGTAGATTATACATTACTATATATACCCATGTTCAGATGTTTTTTTTTCATGCAAAACTTAAAATCGTAAATACCTAAGTCAAATCCAG